AAATAACCTGCTTTAAATCTCCAGTCCCTCTCCAGGATGATGAGCATTGCCTGGCTCTTCAATCTGCACAAGGAGCAAGCTCTGGCAGTTTTACAGGGCCCATAACCATATCTTTTTTTTTTTTTTAAAATAACAGTCCTGTGTGCCTGGTAAGGAACCATAAAACCAAATTATCAGCTTGTTGATAATTATCACTTGCTTCTTGTCGTTCTGTTGGCAGTTAATCACACATGTTCCTTTCTCATTCCTGGTTCTTACATGAATAATGCAGAACTGCAGCACATCAATCCATCTGACAGACTCTTTGTCACTGCAGTACCTGTTTTTTGGGGCTTTTTTTTCAGAGCCAGGGCTCACAGCTATATGTAAATAGAAAGAAAGCACCTACACAGAGGGATTCAACATGCAGGAATGTAATGCAACGTTGGTTTTCATTCCTTTTCACTTTGCATTGGCATTCCTCCCACCCATGAAATGATACTTCCGTAAGAGTTGTGAAAGTAAGAATGTTTTACACTATAAAAATAAACTTTATATGTTCTTTGGTTGTTTTTAAGTAAGCAGGTTTTACTTAAACTATTTTTCCAAACAGTACCTGACTAAAACGAAACTCCTTTTCTTCTGTCCTATGGCATCTTCTCCTCCATTTACCTACAGGATCCCTACTCCAGTGAACTCTGCCTGTACCAGTTCCTTGTGAAGTGGAGCAAAAAGAGACAAAGTCTAAAAAATCTGTTTCTTAAATACTGGTTCATCTTGTGGTCCACCAACAGCCCCTTGCTCACTACCTCTACTCTTAACAGCTCTGCTCCCAACAACTTCCAGTGCAGCCAAAGCCTCTCCCTCCCCTTTGCCCTGGGCACAGGGTGGATCTGCTCCGGTGCCAAGGACGTGGCTCACACCAGGTTTCACATCAAACTCTGCTCCATTCCACTTGTTCAGGTTGTTTCTTTCACTGAGGGGCCATCTAACCTGTCTTTGAGGATTATCCATCCCTGGCACGACTGGGGACAAAAGCACAACTCCCAGGGAGTTCAGAGCTGAAATTCATCACTGTCTAAAACTCACTGACCCTAAAGTTCCATTACAGTGTTTTCTACACTCCCAAACACACCAGGGCTGAGCCCAAGACAAATGTGTGTCCAAGTTGAACTTGCTGACAGAACAACTCAGGCAAACAGTGTTAGAAAGTCTCCAGGATCCACGAGTTCTGACAGCCAGCACAGAGTCAGTTACAGGGGATGACATTTTACAAATCCCAGAGGTCTGACTCGTTCATAAGAAAGCATCTCTGAACAGATCTGATCCTCTTGCCAAGAAATAAAATGTCCTGAACCAGGAGCAACACATCAGGGCTATGCAGGACAGCACACTGAATTTCCTTCTCACAGGCTGGAGAGCACCACTTTGATAACCCAAATACAGCACATTCCAGAGCTCCATGGCCAGGACAGACAGCTACACCTCTGATACTCTCAGGAATGCCTCAATCCATTGCAGGGACCTTGCTTGGAGCTCCCCAGCTTGGGGCACCCAGAGGAGCTCCCCCAAGAATCCTTTGGGTGCGCACTCGAGTCCTCAGGGTGCCCCAGCCCGGGGGGCACCAACAGCACTGTCCCTCCAGGGGCCCAATCTGCTCCCAAAAGGCAGGGGGATCGTGCCCGTGTCCCACACTGCTCCGGGGATCTGAGGGCCTTCCCGAGAACACCTCGGTGCCGGCGTGAAGGCCCAGAGATCCCTGGGAACCACGGGACAGCAGGCACAGAGTCCCTGCTGGGGCCCATTTGGCTGCCTGAAAGCAGCTCGGCAAAGAAGCCTCTCAGACTCAGCTGGGCAGTTTTACAAGCCAGGCATTCCTTGCTGACAACACCCTGCAATCATCACAGCCCAGTGCCTGTCCTGGCCATCAGCTCCCACAGTGCACACAGAGGGGTCTCCACTGCAGCTGATTGAACTCTCATGTAATGATGCCCTTTTCCATTCCCTGCATTCTCGTTTACTATTCAGGGTGTTCTCCAGTACTTATTACCATCCACACCTACCCTGTAAGGTTTCTGAGGGGCTTCTCCAAGGGCCTTCCACGGTCTTCTCTGTCTGGAGTCTCCAAAGTCCCAAGGGCCTGCCTGAGGAACCTCAAGACAACTCACCTGCTGACAGAGGAACTTGGTGCTGCTTGGCTGCTGCCTCACTTCCCTTCTTCCTTCACCTCCCTGGCTTAGTCCCTTGCAATCCCCTGGCTCGGCTCTCTGCAGTTTCCATGTCACAGTCCCCTGCAAAAAGTATCAGCTCTTGTTACACCTCAAAAACCAGACAGCATCCCCCCTATTCTCTTGACACTTGGCCAGTAGGCCAAAGTCTCCTTCTTTAAAGCACAGTTGGACTCCTGACTGACTACAACAGCTACAGCCCTGAATCATAACACAGGCTGAGGGACAAACACGCATGAGAACTTGGAAGGATCCACTTTGTTCTGCTGACCAATCAAAGGAGCTTTCCAAACCCAAGAATAAGATGCCCAAGGTCCCTTTCCTGCCACTTCAACTGCTAGAAACGGGATCAACAAGGCCTGCAAAGGCCCTTTCCACTTCACCTGCAGGGGCTGGCAGTCCCACCACTTGACAGGGACCCAAGGGCTGGGCAGGAACGCACAGGCTGGGGCGTCCAATCCATCGGCCGAGGCGTCACCGTCAATTCCTGGAGTTCCTGCAGGGCACATCTTAAAGCTAGCAAACAATTATAAAGACCATTTTTGCCTTTAATGTCAATATTCCCTGCAAGATGGGGAGCTTGATAAGGCCTCCTGGTGCAACAGGGACAGACTTATGGCCATCTATTCAAAGGATCTACTAGCACTGAAAAGGTATCACTGTCCTCCTTCCAGGGCTAACCCAGCAAACCCTGTTTGCCAGGAGCCTCCAGGAGGATTGCCAGCTTTTGGGGCTCTCTTTCTTTCCCCACAGTAGGAGCTGGGACTATCACCTGCTCTACAGGGGGAACAGCCCAGAAAGTTAACTGGGAGGGATGCCAGTCACTCCAAGTCCCTTGTCAGGAGGGCTGCTCACTGCACACCTTGTTCTTTGTTTTCCCTCCCAAACAGTTCAGAGAGATGAGGCAGAGCCAGAGCTCTCCTCAGGGAATGTCTGAGCTGCCTAAAGGCTGCCCTTGCACCATCTATCCAAGGCAGCAAAATCTTACAGGTGGTTTCCAAAGTTTGCATCAGTCTTACCACACATCCAGAGGGAGCAATGCAGAGTCTTCACCATCCTCCCATTCCCAGGAAGGCACTTCATGCACTGGCTGTGGCTCAGGGAGGACTCAGGTGGCTTCTTTTCTTCCTTCCCCATTTCTGGATTTTCTCCTTCAAAAAAGCAAAGGGTTATTGGCTTGCCTTGTTCCAAGAGATGCAGCAAAAGGCATCTTGAAATCTACTACTGGCATGCTGATTTTAAAGGATACTGGGGTTGCCTTACCCATACAGATCCCAGCTTAGGGCTAATACCTACAAGGTCAGCCCTCTTCCATTTTCCTGGAATTCCACTGGCCCACACCACAGGAACAACTCCATCTGCCACTCCAGTCGGGACGGTGCTGCTGACAGGAGTTATTTCCTGCACGAGAAGAGCTGCTGCTCTCACACAGTTAGTTTCAGCAATTACAATTTCCATCATCTCTCCATTGTTCAGTTTAATACCTGCCTCAACTTAACCAGCAAATCTCTTCCTAGAAAAGGCTTAGGAGAGCTTGCAAATAGACCAACTGAGGAATTCCCCAAGATTTTCCCACTTTAACCCCTGTCACGCCACAAACCCTCACAGCGCCATTCCTGAAGTCTCCCTCGGTTGTGTGAGGGGTGGAGGAAGCTGGACCCGTGTCTGACCAGCACATGTGCAAACCAAATGCTGGGGACTGGAACCCACACCTTGCACTCCTGCAGCTCTCACAATTCCACTCAAGAGAAAACACCCAATTGTACCATCACCACAGCCCCCAAACCTGCCCAGGCTCCAGCTGCTGCACACACCTGGTGTTTTGCCAACAGGCAGGGCACTCCAGGAAACAACTCCTCCCCAGGCACAGGGTAACAGGAACAGTTGAAACAAGCTCAAGCCAACAACACCCGACACAGATTTATGGCACACAAAAGAAACGGAGCAAGGCATCAAATCCTGACTGCCCCGAGAGACAGAACTGTGGCTCAGCAGAAATCCCTCCCCCACGGCCCCCTCACGCTTGGGGATCAAGTCAAGTCTTATGGAGCCACCCTCGAGGGGGGCAGGTAAACATGCCCTGCCTGCCCTGCCCAGGGACAGGGAACTGAGCCCAGTGTTCCTCGGCACAAGGCAGCCCTTGGGAATATCCACTGCCATTCCACAGTCAGGCACAGCAACAAGCACTCCACAAGGCTGCTTGGGCACAGCACCAATCTGAAGCTCAGCTTTTCTCTGGACCACTTCACCTTGTTTGCCACCTCATCCTGTCATCAAAACTTGTTGTCCTTGCACCTTTTTAGGGTCACCATCAGTTGAAGAGGCCTCCGCTCCAGCACCCACAAGGGCCTAAGCCCTTGGACAAGATCCATTTTCCCAAGGAATTCAAAGCTCCACCTGAGGGCCACGGGCTTTTCTCGCCCACCCTTGTGCTGGAGCTCGGCCTTCATCTCCCTCTGCCTTGGGTTCTTGCAGTGGCTGCCCCATTTGCAGCCCTGCCCTGGCCGGAGCTCGGCATCCTGATCCCATCCCTGCCGGCCCCCGGAACCGCTGACTCGGCAATGGGGGGCCCTCCATTGCCAAGTGCACGGTCCCGTCGGGGCTCACGGGGGGAGCAGGAGGTCCAAGGGCTCCAGCCCTCCTGGGACAACCTCCCACCACTGCAGCCAACAAAGGAGCCTCTCCAGCCCTGCCTCCCAAGGCATCCCGAACAAACCCAGCCCAGCTCCACGGGACAAACTGCTCCCTGCCTGCCCAGTCCAATCTGAGCCCAGAGGCTCCCAGCTCATGCAGCCCAACTGCCCAGGAGATCACAGACTCTCTGGCCTTTGCTTTAAACTTCTCCACAGCACCAGCAAGTTCAGGCTGAGTAAAATCCTCCACCACATCAGGCCTGACGGGAGAACCATCGGGGTCACCTTCCCCTTTCTCTCCTGTTATTGGCTGTGCTTCAGCAAACACTTCCCCCTCTGAACCAGGCTCTAAAGCAGCTCAATCCCAAGCATCTCCACCCCAGTTCTTGTGATCCCAACCTATCCCTGCCTCTGCACTCCCAGCATGCACTGGTTTACTTGACCCCTTGGCTTCCCATATTTATATTGGGCTACCTGGAGAGTCACTTCTGCTCCTGTTTGACAAGTGTCCAACCTGGCCCTTCATAGGCCACAACTGTTTTCCACTGGCCCACACCACAGGAACAACTCCATCTGCCACTTCAGTCGGGACGGTGCTGCTGATAAGAGTTATTTCCTGCACGAGAAGAGAAGCTGCTCTCACACAGTTAGTTTCAGCAATTACCATTTCAGTCATCTCCCATTTTCCAATTTCATTTCTACCTCAGCTTTTCCAACCAATCTCTTCCTGGCAGTGGTTTGGGTAATTTCGGAAAATACACAAAGTAAGGAATTACTCACTGTTTTCCCAGTTAAACCCCTGTCACACCATTCACCTTCACAGTGCAATTCTCCCTCTCTTGTGTTAAGGACTGAGAAAGTTGGACCTTTGTCTGACCAGCACATGTCCAAACCAAATGCTGGGGACTGGAACCCACACCTTGCACTCCTGCAGCTCTCACAATTCCACTCAAGACAAAACACCCAATGGTACCATCACCACTCATTCCTTAATCCCAATCCCACACTTCTTTGGCAGTCGGAGCACCACTTTTAGAACCCAATTACAGCCCATTCCAGAGCTCCATGGCCAGGACGGACAGCTACACCTCTGATACTCTCAGGAATGCCTCAGTCCATTGCAGGGACCTTGCTTGGAGCTCCCCAGCTTGGGGCACCCAGAGGAGCTCCCCGAAGAATCCTTTGGGTGCGCGCTCGAGTCCTCGGGGTGCCCCAGCCCGGGGGGCACCAACAGCACTGTCCCTCCAGGGGGCCCAATCTGCTCCCAAAAGGCAGGGGCATCGTGCCCGTGTCCCACACTGCTCCGGGGATCTGAGGGCCTTCCCGAGAACACCTCGGTGCCGGCATGAAGGCCCAGAGATCCCTGGGAACCACGGGACAGCAGGCACAGAGTCCCTGCTGGGGCCCATTTGGCTGCCTGAAAGCAGCTCGGCAAAGAAGCCTCTCACACTCAGCTGGGCACTTTTACAAGCCAGGCATTCCTTGCTGACAACACCCTGCAATCATCCCAGCCCAGCGCCTGTCCTGGCCATCAGCTCCCACAGTGCACACAGAGGGGTCTCCACTGCAGCTGAGGGGAGGGATCAGCATTACAGGAGGCTTCACTTTATTCCCTGCATTCCTGATCCACACTCAGGACATCCCCCAACACCTATTCCCATACACACCTACCCTTAGAAGGTCTGAGTGGTTACACTGGGGGTCTCTGGTGGTCACCAGTGCCTGGAGCCCCCAAAGTTCTAAGTCACCACCTTATCAGCTTCAAACAGTTCACCTGCTGACAGAGGAACTTGGTGTTGCTTGGCTGCTGCCTCAGTTCCCTTCCTCCTTGTTTCTTTCCTTTGCTTCCTTAGTCCCTTTCAATCCCTTGACTCAGCTCCATGGAGTTTCCAGGGTACATCCCATTGCACAAACTACCAGCTCTTGGTCCACTTCCACACTCAGATATCAGGGAGAGGGGCAGAAATCAACTAATGCAGGGCACTACCTCCAAATATTGGGACAAAAACACCAGAACATTCCATGGCCTCCCTTGGGAAATAAACCCCAAACTGCTCAGACACAAACAAACACCTGCACACTACAACAATCTGCCACTCTTGCTTCAACCCAGACAAGTCAGGGGGGAAGTCACACAAGGGCAACTTTTTTCCAAGTTTCAGGGATGATACAAAAATCAGGGAGATCAGAGACTACCCCAGACAGTTCTACCTGGAGGACAGAAGGACACCAGTGCTGCAATCCCTCAGGCTCCCAAAAAGGCCCAGGGGCTGTCCTGGAGCACAGGCAGGAACGCGACGTCACCACCCCACAGGCACAGCTGAGAACCCAAAGAACAGCCACACCAGCAGCTCCTGCAAGCCCTGCTGGGCTGGGCCTTGGGCAGGAAGGGCACTGGCCTCTCTTCCTGCCCAGGAGGAAAAAGCCTCCTTGCTGAGCCCTTCTCCTGCCAAGGGCATCAGCTCTGAAGGGAACTTCATCAAGGGCAACTTCTCGCACTGACAAAGATTCCTCTTCCCTGGAAAATCTCTTCCCAACCAAACACACAAGTCCACACTAGAGCTTCAGGTGTCACCTACAATTTCCTACAAAAACCCCAAAGACTCAACTGGTGAGTTTTACAAGCCAGGCATTCTTTTATTCCTATGCTCTTGGATCATCCCAGCCCAGCGCCTGTCCTGGCCATCAGCTCCCGCAGTGCACACAGAGGGGTCTCCACTGTAGCTGAGGGGAGGGATCAGCATTACAGGAGGGTTCACTTTGTTCCCTGCATTCCTGTTCCACACTCAGGACATTGCCCAGCACTTATTACCATCCACATCTACCCTGTAAGGTTTCTGAGGGGCTTCTCCAAGGGGCTTCCACGGTCTTCTCTGTCTGGAGTCTCCAAAGTCCCAAGGGTCTGCCTTAGGAACCTCAAGACAACTCACTTGCTGACAGAGGAACTTGGTGCTGCTTGGCTGCTGCCTCAGTTCCTTCTTCCTTCTTTCTTCACCTTCCTGGATTAGTCCCTTTCAATCCCCTGGCTTGGCTCTCTGCAGTTTCCATGCCACAGCCCCCTGCAAAAAGTATCAGCTCTTGTTACACCTCAAAAACCAGACAGCATCCCCCCTATTTTCCTGACACTTGGCCATTAGGCCAAAGTCTCCTTCTTTAAAGCACAGTTGGACTCCTGACTGACTACAACAGCTACAGCCCTGAATCATAACACAGGCTGAGGGACAAACACGCATGAGAACTTGCAAGGATCCACTTTGTTCTGCTGACCAATCAAAGGAGCTTTCCTAACCCAAGAGAAAAATGCCCAAGGTCCCTTTTCTGCCACTTCAACTGCGAGAAATGGGATCAACAAGGCCTGCAAAGGCCCTTTCCACTTGGCAGGGACCGAAGGGCTGGGCAGGAATGCAGGGGCTGGGCCGTCCAATCCATCGGCCGAGGCGTCACCGTCAATTCCTGGAGTTCCTGCAGGGCACATCCTAAAGCCAGTAAACAATTATAAAGACCATTTTTGCCTTTAATGTCAATATTCCCTGCAAGATGGGGAGCTTGATAAGGCCTCCTGGTGCAACAGGGACAGACTTATGCCCATCTATTCAAAGCATCTACTAGCACTGCAAAGGTATCACTGTCCTCCTTCCAGGGCTAACTCAGCAAACCCTGTTTACCAGGAGCCTCCAGGAGGATTGCCAGGTTTTAGGGCTCTCTTTTTTCCCCACAGTGGGAGCTGGGACTATCACCTGCTCTACAGGGGGAACAGCCCAGAAAGTTAACTGGGAGGGATGCCAGTCACCCCAAGTCCCTTGTCAGGGCTGCTCACTGCACACCTTGTTCTTTGTTTTCCCTCCCAAACAAAGGGGCTTCAAACAGTTCAGAGAGATGTGGCAGAGCCAGAGCTCTCCTCAGGGAATGTCTGAGCTGCCTAAAGGCTGCCCTTGCATCATCTATCCAAGGCAGCAAACTCTTACAGGTGGTTTCAAAACTTTGCATCAGCCTTACCACGCATCCAGAGGGAGCAATGCAGAGTCCTCACCATCCTCCCATTCCCAGGAAGGCTCTTCATGGACTGCCTGTGGCTCAGGGAGGTCTCAGGTATATTCATTTCTTCCTTCTCCATCTCTGCATTTTCTCCTTCAAAAAGCAAAGGTTTCTTGGCTTGCCTTGCTCCTGGAGATGCAGCAAAAGGCATCTTGAAATCTACTACTGGCATGCTGATTTTAAAGGATACTGGGGTTGTCTTACCCATACAGATCCCAGGATAGGATTAATACCTACAGGGTCTGCCCTTGTCCATTCTCCTGGAATTCCACTGGCCCACACCACAGGAACAACTCCATCTTCTGCCACTCCAGTCGGGACAGTGCTGCTGACAGGAGTTATTTCCTGCACGAGAAGAGCTGCTGCTCTCACAGTTAGTTTCAGCAATTACAATTTCAATCATCTCCCCACTTGCCAATTTAATACCTGCCTCAACTTAACCAGCAAACCTCTTCCTAGAAAAGACTTAGTGGAGCTTGCAAATAAACAAACTGAGGAGTTACTCATTGTTTTCCCAATTAAACCCCTGTCACACCCATCACTTTAACAGTAATTGGTTAACTAATTGGTTAATTAAGACAGCCCTTAATTCTCTCTCTGCTGTGTTAAGGGCTGACCAGGACATGTGCAAACCAAATGCTGGGGACTGGAACCCACACCTTGCACTCCTGCAGCTCTCACAATTCCACTAAAGACAAAACACCCAATGGTACCATCACCACTCATTCCTTAATCCCAATCCCACACTTCTTTGGCAGTCAGAGCACCACTTTTAGAACCCAATTACAGCCCATTCCAGAGCTCCATGGCCAGGACAGACAGCTACACCTCTGACACTCTCAGGAATGCCTCAATCCATTGCAGGGACCTTGCTTGGAGCTCCCCAGCTTGGGGCACCCAGAGGAGCTCCCCGAAGAATCCTTTGGGTGCGCGCTCGAGTCCTCGGGGTGCCCCAGCCCGGGGGGCACCAACAGCACTGTCCCTCCAGGGGGCCCAATCTGCTCCCAAAAGGCAGGGGGATCGTGCCCATGTCCCACACTGCTCCGGGGATCTGAGGGCCTTCCCGAGAACACCTCGGTGCCGGCGTGAAGGCCCAGAGATCCCTGGGAACCACGGGACAGCAGGCACAGAGTCCCTGCTGGGGCCCATTTGGCTGCCTGAAAGCAGCTCGGCAAAGAAGCCTCTCACACTCAGCTGAGGAGTTTTATAAGCCAGGCATTCCTACACACTAAGATATTTTAAGACCTTACTGACTGAAAAAGCAGAAAACTTTTGTCATGGCCACGTGACCTCCCAGAGACAGCTCCTTTCCCCTTCCAACACAAAATTAGTTTCATGGTATCATTTAATAGGAAGTGCCCAGGAACCCCAGCCTCTGCTTTCCAGGACAGAAAATAAACAGGGGGAAGGAGCTTTGCACAAGTGTAACACACTCCAGAACAGACCTGACTTCAGCTTTACTCTTTGTGTTCAAATATTCCATGGAACAGCTCCAGCAGGAGAGCTGGCACATTACCCAGGGTACCTGAAAGCCCATCCTTTGAGGGCTGTAGGAGAATCGCAGTGGGATGAGCTCCTTGTGCCTGCACATGCCTGGGGATCCTTTCCATCCACCCCGTGCTCTCCCAACAGGAGAAACAGTGACCTCAGGGACACGGTGGCACTCGACATCCTGCTGAGAGAGGAGGAAGGAAACCTTTAGCATAAAGCTGAGTTGGAACCTTGAGCTTCCTTTTCCAGGAGCTTTGTACAGTCTGCAAACCAGGAGGAGAAATTTTCATCTCCTTTAGTGCAGGTGTCAACAGAGGCTGAGAGCTTTTACCTTTTTCAGACAACTGTGCCCTTTTGGACTCCCTACAAGTTCAAGTGGCACCAGAAAGCCCTTCCTGCATACACACGGGTGTCACACACAGGCACCCACACACCTTTTCTGCAGTCCACACGTGGCCAAGATTTCCTCACCCTGTGGACATCCCACCCTGTGTAGTTTTGCCAGAGAGCACAGCACCCTCCCTGTCCTTGCAAACTGCCTCCCTGTAAAAAAGGAGCAATGTTTCCTGGACACTTCTCCCATAGTCAAGGTCTTTTGAAGCTGCTGTCATGCCACCAAACCTGCTCAGGGTCCCTCCCAGCTTCTGCCTCTCCTTGGATTTAGAAGGCACATACATATTCTGTCTTCCAACAGCAAAACCCAGTTCCTCACTCTTACCGATACAAACTCCCAGGCTCGACACAGCTGTGGTTGCAGGGCAGCTTTCCGAGGTCCTTCTCTCTCCCAGCAGGAAGCACAACTCCCTGCACTCTGCCAGCACCAGGGGAAACCACGAGGGAGGCTGGAAATTGACACAGAACGAGGAGAAAGCATTAAGTCGGCACCAAAAAAATAAGTTTAGAGCAGCCTTGACCTCATAGCCCTGCACGGGGAAAGGTTTCGGAGTTCCAAGGCAAACCCTGATAAACCCAGAGAGCAACAGCCCCTCAGCTCCACCACGGCTCCCCGGGGCTCCCCGGCAGGGAACGGGCTTACCCAGCCCCCGCAGCCCAGCACAGCGGCCCCAAACACCGCCCAGCTGCCCCGTTCCACGGGCACGGGTGGGAATTCTGCAGACGAGCCGTGCCTGGCAGACAAATCCAGCTCGTGCCCGCTGCGAGGGCTGGCCCGGAGCTGCTCCATCCCTGCTGCCACGAGCTGTGCTGGCAGTGCCGCGGCTGCGGGTGGGATTCCCCCAGCTCCGGACGCTCCGGAGCAGGGCAGTGCAGGGCACGGCTCCTCCGTCCCCTGCCAAGAGGAAGCGCAAGGAGGGCCGGCTCGCTGCCTGGTGCTCCGTCCTCCTGCCGGCCCACCTTCCCTGCCCGGCTGCTCCGGAGCGCACAGGGACGGGGCAGGAAAAGCTCCCCGAGCACGGCAAGCACGAGTTCGCGCCCGTCCCCAGCCGGGCACAGCCCAGCCGGCCGCGCTCCCTCCGGAAGGCTCTTATAGAAGAACGAGAGCTGCCGAAATGTAACAAAGGCGCATTTGCCGACAGTATTTCTCTGCGGTCCTTGCCTCCTTTGACTCGCACCGCAGCCTGTGCCCGACCCGCGGACAGGAACCGTTCTTCCCTGCCCCGGCACGGGCCCCGGCTCCCCACGGCCGGAGCGGGCCCGTGCCCGGAGCCCCGGCGGGCCCCAGATCCCCCGTTCCCGGGGGCACTGCGGGCGGGAAGCCCGCGGCATTGCGGCCGCGGAGAAGGGGCAGGCGGGCGGTGTTCTCTCCGGGGGGGATGCGCTGGGGCCGGGGGTGCCCGAGCCGGGGGGGCTCTAACCCCGCGGGGGGGCGCGGGCGGCGCTGGGGGCCCGGCGAGTTCGGGGGGTCCCGGGGCGGGCCCGGCGCGTCCCCACGAGGACGGACGAGGGAAGCGCCGCCGTTCTCCCGGCCCCGGGCCCCGGCAGAGCCCCGGCCCGAGCGGCCCCGCCCGCCTCGGTCCCAGCGACCGCCCCGGAACGGCTCCTGCCGGCCGCGCCGGGGCAGATGCGCCGGTTCCGGTGCCCATCGTGCTCCCGAGCCCATTCCCAGCCCCAAGCCAACCTCGCTCCTCCGGTGGCGGTCCTGGCGCCGGTCCCGATCCCGGTCGCCATCCTGATGCCGAGCCCCGTCCGCAGCCTCGCTCCTCCGGTGCCGGCCCCGCTCACGGCCCGGGCTCGGCGCAGCGCCGGGAGCTGCCCCCGGGCCGTGAGCGCCGCTCGGTCCGTCCACGCCCCGGGACGAGCGTCCTCCACAACAGCGGCGCGAGCGCGGTTCTGCCGCTTTGAGCGGCGCGGCCGGGGCGGGGGCCGGGGCAGGGCAGGGCCCGCACAGGTGCGCGGGGAGGGCCCGCACAGGTGCGTGGGGAGGGGACGGGCGGAGGGGCGGTCGGAGCGGGGTATTTAAGGTCCGGCACTGGCTGCTGATCTCATTTGCTCGGGCAGTGCGTGGGAAGCAACATCGCTGCCGGTGTTTCTCTCTGCCGCGACTCTTTTTCTTTGCTTTGGTTTGTATCTTTTATTTTTTGTTTTTTCTTTTGTATTTTACCTTTTTGTTTGTCTTTTTCCAAACACAGGTGTTACCAATGTTCTGTTTTTGCCTGCAGAAGCACCTTGAGTTCCCCAATCCTCGTTCCTGCTCCTTTGCCCTCGCCCCTCCCTGGTCCTCTATCTTGCCTGATCTTGTTCTTTGTCTGGTTTCTGCTGCACACCTTGATTTTCCCTGCCCTGCTTCTTTCTTCTCCGTGCTGGGGGTCCCCGCACGCTGCCACCTCCTGGTTCCTGTTGCTGTCGTCCTGCACACCCTCGACCCTCTGGTTCCTCCAGCTTCTCCTTTCTCCCCCATCCCTGCTCGATTGCACACTCCAACACCCCACTCCCTCCTCTGTCCCCATTCAACTTCTGTGCATATTAACACTTTTTATTCTTTTTCTAAAGAAACAGTGAAGTGGGGAACTCGGGCAGTAGTCAAGCAATGCCCAGTTATTCTATGACCTGGTAAGATGACTTGAAGTTGATAATGTGGTCACTTAAAACTTTGGGGGCTCAAGGCACAGGTGTCCACCAGAGACCCCTGATGGAGCTCTTCAGAGACCTTATGAGAGTTTGTGTGTATGGAAACAGGTGTTGGGCAATGTCCTGAGTGTGGAACAGGAATGCAGGGAACAAAGTGAACCCTCCTGTAATGCTGATCCCTCCCTTCAGCTGCAGTGGAGACCCCTCTGTGTGCACTGTGGGAGCTGATGGCCAGGACAGGCGCTGGGCTGGGATGATTGCAGGCTGTTGTCAGCAAGGAATGCCTGGCTTGTAAAACTGCCCAGCTGAGTCTGAGAGGCTTCTTTGCCGAGCTGCTTTCAGGCAGCCAAATGGGCCCCAGCAGGGACTCTGTGCCTGCTGTCCCGTGGTTCCCAGGGATCTCTGGGCCTTCACGCCGGCACCGAGGTGTTCTCGGGAAGGCCCTCAGATCCCCGGAGCAGTGTGGGACACGGGCACGATGCCCCTGCCTTTTGGGAGCAGATTGGGCCCCTGGAGGGACAGTGCTGTTGGTGCCCCCCGGGCTGGGGCACCCCGAGGACTCGAGCGCGCACCCAAAGGATTCTTCGGGGAGCTCCTCTGGGTGCCCCAAGCTGGGGAGTTCCCAGCAAGGTCCCTGCAATGGATTGAGGCATTCCTGAGAGTATCAGAGGTGTAGCTGTCCATCCTGGCCATGCAGCTCTGGAATGGGCTGTAATTGGGTTATCAAAGTGGTGCTCTGACTGCCAAAGAAGTGTGGGATTGGGATTAAGGAATGAGTGGTGATGGTACCGTTGGGTGTTTTGTCTTGAGTGGAATTGTGAGAGCTGCAGGAGTGCAAGGTGTGGGTTCCAGTCCCCAGCATTTGGTTTGCACATGTGCTGGTCAGACACAGGTCCAGCTTCTTCCACTCCTAACACAACAGAGGGAGAATTCAGCAATGGCGCTGTGAGGGTTTGTGGCGTGACAGGGGTTGAAGTGGGAAACCCTTGGGGAGTTCCTCAGTTTGTCTGTTTGCAAGCTCTCCTAAGCTTTTCCTAAAAAGAAATTGGTTGGAGAAGTTGAGGCAGGTATTAAATTGGAAAATGGGGAGATGATTGAAATTGTAATTGCTGAAACTAACTGTGTGAGAGCAGCAGCTCTTCTCGTGCAGGAAATAACTCCTGTCAGCAGCACCGTCCCGACTGAAGTGGCAGATGGAGTTGTTCCTGTGGTGTGGGCCAGTGGAATTCCAGGAGAATGGACAAGGACAGACCCTGTAGGTATTAACCCTAAACTGGGATCTGTATGGGTAAGACAACACCAGTATCCTTTAAAATCAGCATGCCAGTAGTAGATTTCAAGATGCCTTTTGCTGCATCTCCTGGAGCAAAGCAAGCCAAGAACCCTTTGCTTTTTTCGAAGGAGAAAATGCAGAGATGTGGTAGGAAGAAAAGAAGCCACCTGAGTCCTTCCTGAGCCATTGGCAGTGCATGAAGTGCCTTTCTGGGAATGGGAGGATGGTGAGGACTCTGCATTGCTCCCTCTGGATGTGTGGTAAGACTGATGCAAAGTTTTGAAACCACCTGTAAGAGTTTGTTGCCTTGGATAGATGTTGTAAGGGCAGCCTTTAGGCAATTCAGGCATTCCCTGAGGAGAGCTCTGGCTCTGCTACATCTCTCTGAACTGTTTGAAGCCCCTTTGTTGGGGAGGGAAAACAAAGAACAAGGTGTGCAGTGAGCAGCCCTGACAAGGGACTTGGAGTGACTGGCATCCCTCCCAGTTAACTTTCTGGGCTGTTCCCCCTGTAGAGCAGGTGATAGTCCCAGCTACCACTGTGGGGAAAAAAGAGAGCCCCCAAAGCTGGACATCCTCCTGGAGGCTCCTGGCAAACAGGGTTTGCTGAGTTAGCCCTGGAAGGAGGACAGTGATACCTTTTCAGTGCTAGTAGATGCTTTGAATAGATGGCCATAGGTCTGTCCTTTTTGCACCAGGAGGCCTTGTCAAGCTCCCCATCTTGCAGGGAATATTGACATTAAAGGCAAAAATGATAATTGATAATTCTTCGATAATTCTTGATAATTGTTTGCTGGCTTTAGGATGTGCCCTGCAGGAACTCCAGGAATTGACGGTGACGCCTCGGCCGATGGATTGGACGCCCCAGCCCGTGCGTTCCTGCCCAGCCCTTGGGTCCCTGTCAAGTGGTGGGACTGCCAGCCCCTGCAGGTGAAGTGGAAAGGACCTTTGCAGGCCTTGTTGATCCCATTTCTAGCAGTTGAAGTGGCAGAAAAGGGACCTTGGGCATCTTATTCTTGGGTTTGGAAAGCTCCTTTGATTGGTCAGCAGAACAAAGTGGATCCTTGCAAGTTCTCATGCGTGTTTGTCCCTCAGCCTGTGTTATGATTCAGGGCTGTAGCTGTTGTAGTCAGTCAGGAGTCCAACTGTGCTTTAAAGAAGGAGACTTTGGCCTACTGGCCAAGTGTCAGGAGAAAAAGGGGGGATGCTGTCTGGTTTTTGAGGTGTAACAAGAGCTGATACTTTTTGCAGGGAGCTGTGGCATGGAAACTGCAGAGAGCCGAGCCAGGGGATTGAAAGGGAGTAATCCAGGGACATGAAGAAAGAAGGAAGAAGGGAACTAAGGCAGCAGCCAAGCAGCACCAAGGTCCTCTGTCAGCAGGTGAGTTGCCTTGAGGTTCCTAAGGCAGGCCCTTGGGACTTTGGGGACTCCAGACAGAGAAGACCATGGAAGCCCCTTGGAGAAGCCCCTCAGAAACCTTACAGGGTAGGTGTGGATGGTAATAAGTGCTGGGAAATGTCCTGAATATAGAACTGGAAGGCAAGGAATGAAAAAGGGCATCAGTACATGAGGGTTCAATCAGCTGCAGTGGGGACACCTCTGTGCACTGTGGGAGCTGATGGCCAGGACAGGCGCTGGGCTGGGATGATTGCAGGGTGTTGTCAGCAAGGAATGCCTGGCTTGTAAAACTGCCCAGCTGAGTCTGAGAGGCTTCTTTGCCAAGCTGCTTTCAGGCAGCCAAATGGGCCCCAGCAGGGACTCTGTGCCTGCTGTCCCGTGGTTCCCAGGGATCTCTGGGCCTTCACGCCGGCACCGAGGTGTTCTCGGGAAGGCCCTCAGATCCCCGGAGCAGTGTGGGACACGGGCACGATCCCCCTGCCTTTTGGGAGCAGATTGGGCCCCCTGGAGGGACAGTGCTGTTGGTGCCCCCCGGGCTGGGGCACCCCGAGGACTCAAGCGCGCACCCAAAGGATTCTTCGGGGAGCTCCTCTGGGTGCCCCAAGCTGGGGAGCTCCAAGCAAGGTCCCTGCAATGGATTGAGGCATTCCTGAGAGTATCAGAGGTGTAGCTGTCTGTCCTGGCCATGCAGCTCTGGAATGGGCTGTAATTGGGTTCTAAAAGTGGTGCTCTGACTGCCAAAGAAGTGTGGGATTGGGATTAACGGATGAGTGGTGATGGTACCTTGGGTGTTTTGTCTTGAGTGGAATTGTGAGAGCTGCAGGAGTGCAAGGTGTGGGTTCCAGTCCCCAGCATTTGGTTGGCACACGTGCTGGTCAGACACAGGTCCAGCTTCCTCAGCCCTTAAGACAACGGAAAGAGAGTTAAGGATGGCACTGTGAAAGTGATTGGTGTGACAGGGGTTTAACTGGGAAAACCTTGGGGAGTTCCCTAGTTTGTCTCTTTGCCAAAATTACCCAAACCACTACCAGGAAGAGATTGGTTGGAAAAGTTGAGGCAGGTATTAAATTGGAAAATGGGGAGATGATTGAAATTGTAATTGCTGAAACTAACTGTGTGAGAGCAGCAGCTCTTCTCGTGCAGGAAATAACTCCTGTCAGCAGCACCGTCCCGACTGGAGTGGCAGATGGAGTTGTTCCTGTGGTGTGGGCCAGTGGAAAACAGTTGTGACCTGTGAAGGGCCAGGTTGGACACTTGTCAAACAGGAGCAGAAGTGACTCTCCAGGTAGCCCAATATAAATATGGGAAGCCAAGGGGTCAAGTAAACCAGTGCATGCTGGGAGGGCAGAGGCAGGGATAGGTTGGGATGGCAAGAACTGGGGTGGAGATGCTTGGGATTGAGCTGCTTTAGAGCCTGGTTCAGAGGGGAAGTGTTTGCTGAAGCACAGCCAATAACAGGAGGGAAAGGGGAAGGTGACCCCAGTGGTTCTCCCGTCAGGCCTGATGTGCTGGAGGATTTTACTCAGCCTGAACTTGCTGGTGCTGTGGAGAGGTTTAAAGCAAAGGCCAGAGAGTCTGTGATCTCCTGGGCAGTTGGGCTGCATGAGCTGGGAGCCTCTGGGCTCAGATTGGACTGGGCAGGCACGGAGCAGTTTGTCCCGTGGAGCTGGGCTGGGTTTGTTCAGGATGCCTTGGGAGGCAGGGCTGGAGAGGCTCCTTTGTTGGCTGCAGTGGTGGGAGGTTGTCCCAGGAGGGCTGGAGCCCTTGGACCTCCTGCTCCCCCCGTGAGCCCCGACGGGACCGTGCACTTGGCAATGGAGGGCCCCCCATTGCTGAGTCAGCGGTTCCGGGGGCCGGCAGGGATGGGATCAGGATGCCGAGCTCTGGCCAGGGCAGGGCTGTAAATGGTGCAGCCACTGCAAGAACCCAAGGCAGAGGGAGATGAAGGCCGAGCTCCAGCACAAGGGTGGGCGAGAAAAGCCCGTGGCCCTCAGGTGGAGCTTTGAATTCCTTGGGAAAATGGATCTTGTCCAAGGGCTCAGGCCCTTGTGGGTGCTGGAGCGGAGGTCTCTTCAACTGATGGTGACCCTAAAAAGGTGCAAGGACAGCAAGTTTTGATGACAGGATGAGGTGGCAAACAAGGTGAAGTGGTCCAGAGAAAAGCTGAGCTTCAGATTGGTCCTGTGCCACAAGCAGCCTTGTGGAGTGCTTGTTGCTGTGCCTGACTGTGGAATGGCAGTGGATATTTCCAAGGGCTGCCTTGTGCCGAGGAACACTGGGCTCAGTTCCCTGTCCCTGGGCAGGGCAGGCAGGGCATGTTTACCTGCCCCCCTCCAGGGTGGCTCCATAAGACTTGACTTGATCCCCAAGCGTGAGGGGGCCGTGGGGGAGGGATTTCTGCTGAGCCACAGTTCTGTCTCTGGGGGCAGTCAGGATTTGATGCCTTGCTCCGTTTCTTTTGTGTGCCATAAATCTGTATCCCGTGTTGTTGGTTTGTGCTTGTTTCAACTGTTCCTGTTATCCTGTGCCTGGGGAGGAGTTGTTTCCTGGAGTGCCCTGCCTGTTGGCAAAACACCAGGTGTGTGCAGCAGCTGGAGCCTGGGCAGGTTTGGGGGCTGTGGTGATGGTACAATTGGGTGTTTTCTCTTGAGTGGAATTGTGAGGAGTGCAAGGTGTGGGTTCCAGTCCCCAGCATTTGGTTTGCACATGTGCTGGTCAGACACAGGTCCAGCTTCCTCCACCCCTCACACAACCGAGGGAGAATTCAGCAATGGCTCTGTGAGGGTTTGTGGCGTGACAGGGGTTAAAGTGGGAAAACCTGGGGTCATTCCTCAGTTTGTCTATTTGCAAGCTCTCCTAAGCTTTAACTAGGAAGAGATTGATTGGAGAAGTTGTAGGCAGGTATTAAATAGAACAATGGGGAGAAGATTGAAATTGTAATTGCTGAAACTAACTGTGTGAGAGCAGCAGCTCTTCTCGTGCAGGAAATAACTCCTGTCAGCAGCACCGTCCCGACTGAAGTGGCAGATGGAGTTGTTCCTGTGGTGTGGGCCAGTGGAATTCCAGGAAAATGGACCAGGGCAGACCCTGTAGGTATTAGCCCTAAGCTGGGATCTGTATGGGTAAGACAACCCCAGTGTCCTTTGAAATCAGAATGCCAGTCTTAGATTTCAAGATGCCTTTTGCTGCATCTCCAGGAACAAGGCAAGCCAAGAAACCTTTGCTTTTTTCAAGGAGAAAACGCAGTAATGGAGAAGGAAGAAATGAAGGCACTTGAGTCCTCCCTGAGCCACAGGCAGTCCATGAAGTGCCTTCCTGGGAATGGGAGGATGGTGAGGACTCTGCATTGCTCCCTCTGGATGTGTGGTAAGACTGATGCAAACTTTGGAAACCACCTGTAAGAGTTTGCTGCCTTGGATAGATGGTGCAAGGGCAGCCTTTAGGCAGCTCAGGCATTCCCTGAGGAGAGCTCTGGCTCTGCCACATCTCTCTGAACTGTTTGGGAGGGAAAACAAAGGACAAGGTGTGCAGTGAGCAGCCCTGACAAGGGACTTGGAGTGACTGGCATCCCTCCCAGTTAACTTTCTGGGCTGTTCCCCCTGTAGAGCAGGTGATTGTCCCAGCTCCAGCTGTGGGGAAAAAAGAGAGCCCTAAAACCTGGCAATCCTCCTGGAGGCTCCTGGCAAACAGGGTTTGCTGAGTTAGCCCTGGAAGGAGGACAGTGATACCTTTTCAGTGCTAGTAGATGCTTTGAATAGGTGACCATAAGTCTGTCCCTGTTGCACCAGGAGGCCTTATCAAGCTCCCCATCTTGCAGGGAATATTGACATTAAAGGCAAAAATGGTCTTTATAATTGTTTGCTGGCTTTAGGATGTGCCCTGCAGGAACTCCAGGAATTGACGGTGATGCCTCGGCCGATGGATTGGACGGCCCAGCCCCTGCATTCCTGCCCAGCCCTTGGGTCCCTGTCAAGTGGTGGGACTGCCAGCCCCTGCAGGTGAAGTGGAAAGGGCCTTTGCAGGCCTTGTTGATCCCATTTCTAGCAGTTCAAGTGGCAGAAAAGGGACCTTGGGCATCTTTCTCTTGAGTTTCGAAACCTCCATTGATTGGTCAGCAGAACAAAGTGGATCCTTCCAAGTTCTCATGCGTGTTTGTCCCTCAGCCTGTGTTATGATTCAGGGCTGTAGCTGTTGTAGTCAGTCAGGAGTCCAACTGTGCTTTAAAGAAGGAGACTTTGGCCTAATGGCCAAGTGTCAGGAGAACAGGGGAGATGCTGTCTGGTTTTTGAGGTGTAACAGGAGCTGATACTTTTTGCAGGGAGCTGTGGCATGGAAACTGCAGAGAGTCGAGCCAGGGGATTGCAAGGGACTCAGCCAGGGAGGTGAAGAAAGAAGGAAGAAGGGAAGTGAGGCAGCAGCCAAGCAGCACCAAGTTCCTCTGTCAGCAGGTGAGTTGTATTGAGGTTCCTAAGGCAGGCCCTTGGGACTCTGGGGACTCCAGACAGAGAAGACCGTGGAAGCCCCTTGGAGAAGCCCCTCAGAAACTTTACAAGGTAGGTGTGGATGGTAATAAGTGCTGGGCAATGTCCTGAGTGTGGAACAGGAATGCAGGGAACAAAGTAAAGCCTCCTGTAATGCTGATCCCTCCCCTCAGCTGCAGTGGAGACCCCTCTGTGTGCACTGTGGGAGCTGATGGCCAGGACAGGTGCTGGGCTGGGATGATTCAATAGCATAAGAATAAAAGAATGCCTGGCTTCTGAAACTCACCAACTGAGTCTTTGGGGTTCTTGTAGGAAATTGTAGGTGACACCTGAAGCTCTAGTGTGGACTTGTGTGTTTGTTTGGGAAGAGATTTTCCAGGGAAGAGGAATCTTTGTCAGTGCGAGAAGTTGCCCTTGATGAAGTTCCCTTCAGAGCTGATGCCCTTGGCAGGAGAAGGGCTCAGCAAGGAGGCTTTTTCCTCCTGGGCAGGAAGAGAGGCCAGTGCCCTTCCTGCCCAAGGCCCAGCCCAGCAGGGCTTGCAGGAGCTGCTGGTGTGGCTGTTCTTTGGGTTCTCAGCTGTGCCCGTGGGGTGGTGATGTCGCGTTCCTGCCTGTGCTCCAGGACAGCCCCTGGTCCTTTTTGGGAGCTTGAGGGATTGCAGCACTGGGGATGGCTTTGGTGTCCTTCTGTCCTCCAGGTAGAACTGTCTGGGGTAGTCTCTGATCTCCCTGATTTTTGTATCATCCCTGAAACTTGGAAAAAAGTTGCCCTTGTGTGACTTCCCCCCTGACTTGTCTGGGTCGAAGCAAGAGTGGCAGATTGTTGTAGTGTGCAGGTGTTTGTTTGTGTCTGAGCAGTTTGGTGTTTATTTCCCAAGGGAGGCCATGGAATGTTATGGTGTTTTTGTCCCAATATTTGGAGGTAGTGCCCTGCATTAGTTGATTTCTGCCCCTCTCCCTGATATCTGAGTGTGGAAGTGGACCAAGAGCTGGTAGTTTGTGCAGTGGGATGTGCCCTGGAAACTCCATGGAGCTGAGTCAAGGGATTGAAAGGGACTAAGGAAGCAAAGGAAAGAAACAAGGAGGAAGGGAACTGAGGCAGCAGCCAAGCAGCACCAAGTTCCTCTGTCAGCAGGTGAATTGTTTGAAGCTGATAAGGTGGTGACTTAGAACTTTGGGGGCTCCAGGCACTGGTGACCACCAGAGACCCCCAATGTAGCCACTGAGAGACCTTCTAAGGGGCTGTGTGTATGGGAACAGGTGTTGGGCAATGTCCTGAGTGTGGAACAGGAATGCAGGGAACAAAGTGAAGCCTCCTGTAATGCTGATCCCTCCCCTCAGCTGCAGTGGAGACCCCTCTGTGTGCACTGTGGGAGCTGATGGCCAGGACAGGCGCTGGGCTGGGATGATTGCAGGGTGTTGTCAGCAAGGAATGCCTGGCTTGTAAAACTGCCCAGCTGAGTCTGAGAGGCTTCTTTGCCGAGCTGCTTTCAGGCAGCCAAATGGGCCCCAGCAGGGACTCTGTGCCTGCTGTCCCGTGGTTCCCAGGGATCTCTGGGCCTTCACGCCGGCACCGAGGTGTTCTCGGGAAGGCCCTCAGATCCCCGGAGCGCTCTGGGACACGGGCACGATGCCCCTGCCTTTTGGGAGCAGATTGGGCCCCCTGGAGGGACAGTGCTGTTGGTGCCCCCCGGGCTGGGGCACTCCGAGGACTCGAGCGCGCACCCAAAGGATTCTTCGGGGAGCTCCTCTGGGTGCCCCAAGCTGGGGAGCTCCAAGCAGGATCCCTGCAATGGATTGAGGCATTCCTGAGAGTATCAGAGGTGTAGCTGTCCGTCCTGGCCATGGAGCTCTGGAATGGGCTGTAATTGGGTTCTAAAAGTGGTGCTCGGACTGCCAAAGAAGTGTGGGATTGGGATTAAGGAATGAGTGGTGATGGTACCGTTGGGTGTTTTGTCTTTAGTGGAATTGTGAGAGCTGCAGGAGTGCAAGGTGTGGGTTCCAGTCCCCAGCATTTGGTTTGCACATGTGCTGGTCAGACACAGCTACAGGTTCCTCAGCCCTTAACACAAGAGAGGGAGAATTAAGGACTGTCTTAATTAACCAATTAATTAACCAATTACTGTTAAAATGATGGGTGGGACAGGGCTTTACTTGGGAAAACAGTGAGTAACTCCTCAGTTGGTTAATTTGCAAACTCCCCTAAGCCTTTTCTAGGAAGAGATTTGCTAGTAAAGTTGAGGCAGGTATTAAATTGGAAAATGGGGCGATGATTGAAAGTGTAATTGCTGAAACTAACTGTGTGAGAGCAGCAGCTCTTCTCGTGCAGGAAATAACTCCTGTCAGCAGCACCGTCCCGACTGAAGTGGCAGATGGAGTTGTTCCTGTGGTGTGGGCCAGGGGAATTCCAGAAGAATGGACAAGGGCAGACCCTGTAGGTATTAGCCCTAAGGTGGGGATCTGTATGGTAAGGCAACCCCAGTATCCTTTAAAATCAGCATGCAAGGATTAGATTTCAAGATGCCCTTTGCTGCATCTCCTGGAGCAAGGCAAGCCAAGAACCCTTTGCTTTTTTGAAGGAGAAAACGCAGTAATGGGGAAGGAAGAAAAGAAGCCACCTGAGTCCTCCCTGAGCCACAGGCAGTCCATGAAGTGCCTTCCTGGGAATGGGAGGATGGTGAGGACTCTGCATTGCTCCCTCTGGATGTGTGGTAAGACTGATGCAAACTTTGGAAACCACCTGTAAGAGTTTGCTGCCTTGGATAGATGGTGCAAGGGCAGCCTTTAGGCAGCTCAGGCATTCCCTGAGAAGAGCTCTGGCTCTGCCACTTCTCGTGGGTGGTTGGCCCCTTGCCCTGCAGTGGGGCACGCACAGACTGTTGCCATGAGGTGATGAACGGGCGCTGTTTGGCTGCCACTCCAGCATCACCTTATACTACGTCCTGGCCCTACGTAGTGTAATGTGGAGCTGATCCATGGGGTGTCAGGACTGCTGGCTGGAGCGATGCTCATCCTTCCATCGACACTGTGTTGCTGGCGGGGACGCCCGCTAAGCATGAGTGCCGCCCAGCCCTGCAGAGCCTGGGAGCCCTGGCCTGTCTGTGCAGGGGAGCACAGTTTAGTGAGAGGAAGAACCCAGAAAGCAAACACTTCACATCCTTTTCCTTGGATCCCTTTAATTCCCTTTTTACTAGCTAATATTGGATCCCTTTGATTCCCCTTGCACTAACTAATACTTTAATAGAGGCTGTTTGTAGCATTGTATGAATGCCAAGACATAAAGTAGTTTTTTTGTGTTCTTTTTAACTTTTGATTCTCTTTGCTAATAGTTTTGTTTTTAACTCTTGCTGCAATAAAGGATATTTTGTAGTGTTTGAATGACTGTTGTACTTGTCTTTATTCCGGACATGTATCCTTGCCAACCTGGTCCAAGCAGGGAGAACTGCAGCTGCCAGCAGCTGGGTCAGTGCTGGCAAGATGGACTAAGAATGAAGATTCTTCAAAGACAAAAGGTGCGGGCGCAGGAAGCTCCATTTGTGCATGGAGTGCCAAAAGCGGCTCACTGACTGCACAGGAGAGTTGGAGGCTAAGGGCTTTTTTTCCTGCCTGAAAATTCATTTGTTTAGTGTCTGAAACCCCATCCTGAAATAGCCCATCTGGGTCCCCAGATTGACTAAGAACGAAGATTTCTCCCAAACAAAACGTGCATGGAGTGTCAAGGGTGGTTCACCGATTGCGTGGAAGAATTGGAGGCTAAGGGCTCTTTTTCGTGCCTGGAACTTCATTGGTTTGGTGTTTTAAACCCATATTGAAATGACCTTTCTGGGTCCCCAGATAGACTAAGAATGAAGATTCCTCCCAAAAAAAAACGTGTCAGCACAGGAAGCTCCATGTGTGTATGGAGTGCCAGGGGTGGCTCACCAATTGCACAGTAGAGTTGGAGGCTAAGGGATTTTTTTCTGCCTGCCAGGTTGCATTTTTGGTGAATCCAAACACATCTTTTGTCATCCTTTCACAATGTTACTCAGCTGTAAATTATTTTTTATTTCTTCATTGTACATTTGGGCCCCAGATACAAGAGACTAGCACGATAAAACTTTTTTTCTATCCAAAACAGAGGCCATGTGTGGGGGCAATGGACGAGGGCTGAGGGGCGATATCTGAGGGCCACGGAACAGACAGCAGTGGCTGACAGCGAGGGCACTGAGGGCCGAGGGTCATGGCGAGGGTGCCGAGTTCCCTCTCCGAGTCTCCCCTGGCCAGTGATGCTGCAGTTGAAGCTCAAAGGCCTGCCGGAAGCGAAACCATTGCTGGAGCTGCTGCCCCAGCCACATGCAGCGCCTCAGCACTCACCCGTTGCAAGCCCTTCACCAGCCTGAACAACACACCTCAGCAAGAGGTGGATTCTCAGCCCCCGCCACTGGCCCCAGCAGACAGGGCATCCATCAGTAGGGCTCTTCTGACAGCTGAGACCGAGCACCGGCACCAAGCCCTCTCCTAAATGCACCGAGGTCCTCGTGTCACTGCCTCCAGACAGAGGTGCAGCTTGCAGCTCCCACTGCATGGTACACCTGGAAGAGGGAAAAAAAACTTTCAGTGGCATTTCTGACACTTCCCTGGGCCCCTGGTCCTCCTCAATACCTCCCCGACTCATCTGGGACACTCATTTTTTTCCAAAGGTTACCGGGCTGGCACCTCCAAAGAGAAGAGGGCAATGCTTAAATGCCCCGCCCTGAAGTCCCTGCCATCGCCCACAAGGCCAATGCCAAAGCACCTGACCTTGTCGCTCGGCTCCTCAGCCCGTGGTCTGCTCCTCTGGGAATACGGATGGGCACCGCAAAGAAATCACAGAGGCAAAGGCACATACGGACGGATCCCTGAGAGGGCAACATTCTGACCAAAGTTCCCCCCTCGGCTTCCTTTACACTCACCTCTTACTGCAAGGACCTCATTCCCATTCTGCTGACTCTTGTCACCTTGTGTACCACTGGAAAAAAACAAAAAACAAGGTATGTGCTTAGCTTCACCAATGATACAGCTTGCCATAAATATCTTTGCATTCAGACTGGCCAGAATATTCTCACCTTGCTCGTCTGCCTTTTAATTCCGACAGCCCAATCAACCACTTGAATCCGACCTCGAAAGAAAGAACAAAAGGTCGGTCACACAATGAATCACAGAATCAGAGCATCAGCTGGATTGGAAAAAACCTCTGAGATCATCAAGCTGATGTCTTGATCCACTATCACTCTGCTTACTAGAGCCTGCCAGCTGCCTGGCAGGGGCAGGAAACAGCAAAGCCCGCTCCTCCCTGAGGATGCACATGGCCAGGCAAAGGCTGGAAGTAAGAGCAGGAGACCAGGTCACTGCAGCAAGGCATTCCCAGGAGCAGCTGGTGGCACAGCAGCAAGTGTCCTGGAGCTGCCACTGCCCAATCCTGGCTTCTCAGGATGCTTCCATAGAAAAAGAGGCTACGGGCAGTGCGAGACAAGATCTCCCCATAGCAAAGGCGGAGGTTGCCATCTCCAGGCCATTCTCTGGAGCCAGTAGTGCAGGAGCAGATGGAGGAATATCTGCACACCCGGCTTCCTTGTGGAGTGAGATTCCATCCCTCCCAGCACCTGTGAAAGAGCTGCCACACTCCAGAAAGAGGAATCCCTGTGCACAGGTCTCCCTTCTCCCTCTGAGCCACAGGTATCAGGAGACCCGTCTTATCTCTGAGGATGCACCTGGCAAGGGAAAGGCTGGAATTTCCCGAGCCTGGAAAAGGTCCAAGGAAGGCATTGCCCGCAGCAAGTTGCACAGCTGAGAGAGTCCCGGAGCCACCAGTGCCCAATCCATTGCTCCCTCGACGCTCCGGCAGTGCAGTATGAGATTACTTTCCATACGTTGCTGCACAAGATCCTTCAGTGCAAAGGCAGGTCCCCCAAGTCCAGGGCTCTCTCCTGAACCAGTACGGCAGGAGCAGGAGAAGGAAGATCTCTGCACTGCATTTACTTTCTGGCAAGGCACTCCATCCCTGGCAGAGCCTCTGGGAGACCTCCTGGAGTTCTGTCCCCAGGGAGTCCTCTCTCTTGGCTCCCTTGGAGCCACAGCTGGCAGGAGACTTGTGTCATGCCTGAGAATACAACTGGCAAGGAAAAGCCTAGAAGCCATAAGTGAGCTTCAGGTTGGAGGGAAGGCATTGCCAGCAGCAAGTTGCACAGCTGAAAGAGTCCTGGAGCCACCGGTGCCCAATCCATGGCTCTCAGGATGCTGCCCCACGGGTAGAGGCTCCACGCACTTCTGGACAAGGTCCTCCAGCGGCAAGGTCGGCTGTTCCCATCTCCAGGGTGCTCTATTTATCCATCTGTGGAGGACCAAGAAAGGGAATATCTCCTGCACACCTGCGTTACTTCTGGCCACAGCCTTCATCGTGCCCAGAGCGTCGGTGAGACCTGCTGGCCTGCAGATGGAGAAGCCTCTGTGGATAGGAGTCCCTGCTCCCTTGGAGCTGTGGCTGTCAGCAGAGCCCGCTCCCGGCTGAACATGCACACGGTCAGGAAAAGGCTGCAAGGAGGAGTGGGAGCCCAGGCCATTGCAGTGAGGCATTGCCAGGAGCAGGTGGCCCTGCAGCTACTGTCCCTGAGACACCGGTGCCCAAGCCATGGCTCCCAGGAAGCTGCGGCAGTGCCACATCAGGATCCTGTGCAGCAACGTGCTGGGGGTCGTCTCCTTCAGCAAAAGCTGGTGTTCCCAAGGCCGGGTTCTCTCCCAGTGCCGTTTGGCAAGAGCAGGAGAGGAATTTCTCGGCATCGCAGTTCCTTGTGGCAAGAGACTGCATCCCTGGCAGAGGCTCTGGGAGACCTGCTGGAGTCTGACACAGGAGCCCCTCTGGACGCGTCTCCCTGCTGCCTGGCAGGGGCAGGAAACAGCAGAGCCCGCTCCTCCCTGAGGATGCACTTGGCCAGGCAAAGGCTGGAAGTAAGAGCGGGAGCCCAGCGCTCACTGCCCCTTCTCCGCGCGGTCCCGAGCGGTGGCTGCAGGACTGCCGGGGTCCAGCCGATCCCTCCCGGATTCCCGGGACTCCCTTCCCACGTTCCACCCAACGCTCCCCGCGCGGGGCTCGAGGCACCGAAGCCTCCCCGCGCCCTCCTCGCCCCACGGCGGAGCGCGCGCAGCCAATGGGAGGACGCGGAGTGGGCGTGGCGAGGCGGGGATTGGTCAGGGCGGGCGAAAAGGCCGGTCCGTGGGGTTTGGGTTGGAGCGGGCGGGGCCGGGAGCGTCGCGGAGCTCCCCCCGGCCGGCGGCCCCCGGGCAGTGGCCCCGGTGCGCGGTCCCGGGGCAGGGACCCCCCGTGCGCGGTCCCGGGGCAGGGACCCCCCGTGCGCGGTCCCGGTCAGTGGCCCCCTGCGAGTGGCCGCTGGTGAGTGACCCTCGGTAAGCGACTCGTGGTGATCGACCCCCGGTAAGTGACCCCCGGTGCGCGGCCCTGGGTG